TTCTTATTTTCAGTAAAAATCCCATCCTCTTTATTAATTAGACAAGGGTTTAAAAGATTTGGAAACATTTACATGCACGATACTCTAAAAGTTTATTTAAAAAAAAGTTACTGTGGACTGAAACTTTCTAAATTTTCAGTGTTTCCAAGCAAGGGCAGCACGGATGCCCAAAGCATCCCTGGGCTCAGGTGCCTTGAGAAAGCCCCTCTGTTATGACCAGTGTAACAGGAGGAAGAGGACACTTTCTACCTTCTGAAAGCCTAATCATTACACATGCTAAGGTGTCTTTCACAGGCAACAACCAGAGATCTATGCCGTCATGCAATTAAATATGCAATTAACAACTACATCACTCCCTAGTGTATACCCCTGCTGCCCTCATATGACCTTCCCAGATGGGCTGGGGTGTCACTGGAGTGGGTAGTTTGCATTTATTTGCCTTCCTCCTGCTCCAGGGGAAGGAGCAGTGGGCAGAGGCTTCCCAGGATCAACTGTGGGAGCACAGGAGGGTTTGCTGCAAGCTCTGCTCCGGGATGCGCGTCCGCTTCTGCCGGAAGAGTAGGGATACTCTAATGGAGACATATAAGGCACCAAACAAATTCAAAATGCATATATTTCTCCACTGTTTAGTGATGGTAAAGATATATATACTGAGCAGCATCTTGCCCAGCCACCCAGTTGCTCAATAAATGCAGGTTAGCATTTGTCCAAAACTTGAATGAAATAAGCAACCGGTAGGTACTGTTTCCTTAAGAAATGTTGAGTGCAACTCGACATTAGCAATGCATTGAGCAATATTGAGGCTGAAAGTAAGAATCTGAGCAGCAATGTATTAATATTTATTAATATTTTATTACTGTAATCAGATATTTGTATTCTTTTGAAAAAAAATAGTAATTTGGAGTGTAGTTCCAGGTTGCCTCAATAAAGCATTTGAGAAAATAGCTGTTACATAGAGCAGACCAGCGGGAATACAGTAATTGCATTTTTATTATTCAATAGAGAGGGAGATATAAATCACAGATATACAATATACAGATATATAATTTACATCCCTTCATCAAAAATTTATTTAGTCAAAAATGACAGCATGCCACTGTGTACTTGGTATTTGTGTATTTATGAGAATCTATACAGCAAGTCTAACTGCTTTAAAATTAACATTTTTTTTCCTTGTAGCATGATTCTGGGGAGCAAACCTACCTTTTAAATCTTTGGAAACTGCTTTAAATCCAGTCTTAGTCTTAAAGAAAAATGTTTCGGTTCTTGTGGCACAGCAGACTGATTAAAGAAGTGGTTGCTGTTGTAGCAGTATGACCACATGAGGGCATTTCACCAGCTGTGAAATGCCAGGTAATAAAGTCTCATGGTGCTGTGCTACTGCATAGCAGGTTTTTATTTTTACTTTTATCATCTTTTCTTGTCTTTTCCTATCACACTGAAAATGTAATATGCTTGTTTGTTAATTAAATGTCATCCTTTTATGGGTAGGTTCTTGCTCATCTCATAATTGCTTGCTCAAAGCCAATAAAATGAATGGTGGAAATTAAAGATGACCATCAACCTAAAATATATTGATCTTGTTTTTGCTTAGAAAAGGAATAAGGGATGGGAGGCAAACAGATGAAGAGGAGAGGAAATACTAGTGGTGTAAATAAGATGATATTTCAGGAGACAGTGACAAAGAGTCATGGAAAAAGCATGACTGCAATGTTGATTTTCCTTAGTATTGAATATGCTTTAGATTGCCAGAGCCTGCAACAGAGGAGCTGAAGAGACAGGTTCAGCAGGCAGCTTCATTTGGTAATTTTAAGGCTTCGCTCCTGAGCTCCTCTACCAGTTTTCGTAGAGGCTTGGTTAGAAGCTGTGTTTTCCATGCAGATATGCAGGACTCTCCAGTTAAATTGGGGCTGACTCATCATTTCACCACCCCTCAAAAATGCTTATTCCTTATTCTTCATTTCCTTAAATTGTTGGCAAATGTATTACTATTTTAATTCTAACGATACTATATTCTGGAGCACCCTTGCCACGGTGGTAGAGAAGATGCCTTTTGTTGCTTCAGAAATAATTGTTGGTGTTGCTGATATCCATATGAATTGCAGTTTTGCAAGCAAACAGTATATGGCATTACGTGGAGAAGTAAAACAGAGTCACCTAGTCAGCATGTTTATAATTAATTTAAAATGAGATTTTTGCTTGGTCAAGGGGTTTTCCTCTGTGTTCTTGCAGTGGAATAGTGAGCCTTTCTAAATCCCAGGCTGGTTACTGAAGCTGAGCAGAGATAGGGGGTTAATTGATTCTTGCTTCCGATCTCTCCCTAACTTCTTTCCTCTCAGAGTGGGGGTGCAATCTAGAGGGAACTGGATGCTTCAGCTGATCTCAGCAAGGGGAGTTGCAATTTGCAGCACCAAACTGGTGTGTTCGGCTCTCTCCTGCACTCAGCATGGCTGCAAAGTGGGGAAGGAGGGTCGGATACCAACCTGGGGAGGCACTCAGGATAGATGAAGGGTTAAACACAGTAGACTTAATGAAGGACTTGCTTCTTACACTCCAAACTGCATAGAGGTTCCTGGGAACCGCCTGGAGGGGCTGCTGGTGGGAGCTGCTGGACGCACGGGTGGCAGGCGCAGTCAGGACTCACCGTGGTGTGTCCTGGGGCCCCCTTTATCTGCAAGAGCTCTTATCTCAGCTTTGCAAAGCTGGAGTGCTTTCTGCTTGCAAAGCGGCTGGAAATGGTTGGCAAAACAGATTACGCATGTCCAGCCCTGACCAGTTTTGGTTGGTTTAGAAAGAGCATCCTCGGGGGCTCCTCTCCGCGACCCTGTCAGTACCTGGGACCTTGCCAGATGCTCCATGGGCATCCTGGCTGCGTTCAGGGCCAGGCAGCAGCAGGAATGACACTAGCTCCCCTATGCTAACAGCAGGATTTCAGCAGGATTTACTTATGCATATTGCTATTCAGCATATTTCAGTAGAAAAACAAGGGACTTTTAGGGTCAGCCTAAATATAGCAGGCATGCTGAGCAGAAAAAGAAAGAAAAAAAGGTTACTGAAATCCATACTTGAATGCATATGTCATCACATCTACATCATAATGAAGATGCACTTATGCTAAATCAGATCAACTTGAATTCTCAAATTTCCTGCTGTTTAAGGGCTTTACTTTGCACACAATATTACTTTAATATCACTGCTTTTTAATATAGTATTGAAGAGTGAAACATGTAGGTAGATAGATAAATATACATAAAGACATAAGCCAATTATCTGAATAAGGGACAAGAGATTCACAGATTTCACTCTCTGTCTGATCCAGTTTTCACTTTTGGAAAGAGCACTCAGTGCCTCTTCATAATGTGTTTGTATCTACAAGATTATCTTGTCAGTGACAAGGCTAAAAATTTTCTATTAAGTGAACAGAAATTCTCACTATGCTATGTGGACTATTTAAATATCCCAAGTGCCTCATATCCAGCCTACGAGACCAAGTACTTGACATTTCTAATTCAGATCATTAATCTGGGGAGAAACCCTGCATGCCAAAAGAAGGGTGTTCTGCTTTCCTCTGAAGTTCCTTCGAGCCATTGCTAGAAGAACATTTTGTAGCAAACAGGAACTTACTGTCTGTGTAAGCCTATCCTATATCCTTCCTTGTATTGTGGATCTCTTATTAGGAAACACCTTACCGTGAATCTTAAAGCAGCATTTCAAGATTCTGTCACCTGTTTATAACCCCCATCAAAGTCAAAGCTGAGGAGCTGCTGTTCTGGATAAATCTTTCGCTGCTGACACAAAGACAGTTCAGGTTTCTCGGCCGGCATTATGAAGAGGCCATTAATATGCAGCCTTCTCCTTGGTGCAGTGCAAGCCATCGTGTGATCAGATGAAGGGAAGCTGTCAAAAGCCAGTTCATTTGCTAGCAGTCAGTACCTGAAATCAGGTCAGCGACTTCACAGCCTAAGACATTTCTTGTTGTGTCCAAGAACCTAAGTTTGCTTTGGTTGCCAGTGTCTCCTGACAACCTTAATAAGGTTTAGTGCAACACAGCTCCTTGCAAGCTTGTTACCTCCTGCACAAGCAAAGTGCTGAATTGGCAGTTGCAGATGTGAGAGCCTTCTCCAGAGATGCAGCCCGTGAAACTTGATACACTTCCTTTACATGGAGCTTCTGGTAAGACAGGAACATTATCATTTGTCATGTCATAGTCATTACATGAAGCCTTTAAAGGTCATTTATGTGATTTCATGACTGTCTCAAAGTTGTCTAGTTAGTGTTATTCCTCCAGCTAGATTAGCAGTCACAATGCCTTATGAAGCAGGAGAAAACCTAGCAGCAAACATTCTGTTAAAATAAACAAACCAGTGGGAGTGTAAAATTCCCTGTGGGCTCTTACAAAACTTTTGAGTAAGGTTTAAACAGTGCAATACACATGATCACAATAGCCCCATGTAGAATTGCTAGAGATACATTGTTCCCTTTCAGATACCTGACAGTAAAATAACTTTATGACTTCAAGAACTGAAGTTTTATCAGCTACTAGAACCTGTAAAACCTGCTATAGAAAAGATTCCTGATTTTCTTACTCAGCATACAAGTCTTACTGCTTAGTAAATCAGTTTCATAGTGTAGGATGAGGCAATTTCTTATATTCACTTATTATTTTTCCTTCACTTGTGATGTTTAGCACAACAAAACCAGTCAGGAAGATTTTTATAGAAGGATACCTAAAAAATGTTGATTCTGTTAAAGCTATGCAAAACTTGTAAACAAGCTATATTAGCTTTCTTCAGATGTATGTGAGGGTAAACCTATATTATCTCCTTCCTCTTCATAAAAGCCAGAGAAAGAGCAATACAAAGATTCCTCGGGACCCTGAGCACAGCAGGCTTTAATTACCCTGATTGGCCTCAAATGGGGTCTCCACCCACACACAACCCAACCATTGGCCTTGGAGCTGCACTTAAGCTCAAGTGTGGGCCACATGTACTGTTTGATAGTGTGCCTTCCTGGTCCTGCCTTGACTTTGGGTTGTGTTGCTGCTCATTGTTGGACTGTAGGTGACCCTGGCTCTCCTGGATCTTCGCGTTCAGGTATTGTGCCCTTCTTGGGGAGCTCCTGCCTTGATGTCACCTTTGTTCTGGGCTTGCACTCCTGGAAAGAGCAGCCTGCTGCAGGCTGAGCTTGGTACCAAGACAGGCTTGCCTATCTGCTGTAAAAGGAGTAGTAGTAGCTTTGCAGCAATTTCAGCCTCAGCTCCCTTGCTGCAAAGGGAGTATTTTGTGCTAATAATTGATGACTGCAAATGGATGGCAATTTTATGAAATATGGAAATGGTTGTTTAAGCCTAGAGGTTATGCCAGGTAAGGTAAGGAAGTTGCACAGGAGGCAGTGTGATGACTCCCTTGCTATATTTTCCTATCCCAAATGAATTGGAAAACACTGCTGTCTAATATGTGTGGTTGTTAAGGAATGGCACATTTAAATGTAAGTCAGGTATATGTCTTTATTTGTCAATGTACAGAGCACAGAATATATTTAAGTTTCCTGCATAATTGTGTAGATAAAAAATAGAATTTGCACTGCAACCCAAACTGGCAAATGTTAACTTTGTTTGGGGGTTTTTGGTAAATCACAAAGATGCTGTAATGTGGTTTTTATAAGGACTTGTCTTACTGGTCAGTTGGTACAAGCTGAAATTTCTGACCGAGGCCTAGACATCTTAAACTTTGTGGTTAGTTTTCTATGCCATTTAGTCTCCTTTTAATTATGAATAAATATGTGAGTATTCTTGTTAGTAGTGCTTTCCTTAAGCTTCTCTGTTAGAATTTACTCTCTTCACCTTGGTTTAAAAAAAATGAAAAGAAAAATCATGCAAACTGTTGCTTATTCTTCAAATCCTATTGTAGATGCTTTATTTTTTCAGACAATATGTGAGTAATAGTGAAGTAGATATGTTAAGTTATTGCTGGAATAAATAAAAAACACTTCAACAGTAAGATACTTTTAAAAGTATCTTGTGCACCTAACCTCAGTAGCCTGTATAGGCCAGACTGCAACAAAGGCAGGTGATGTCTTGATTAACTCATTTCAACTCATCTCCAAGTACAGTGTTTGTACTAGTTCAATCAATATAATTCTGTATAAAGGATCAGAGCTAGAAAATGGATTATCTTTTGTGTGTTACAATAAAATAAGTCCATGTGTTTGTGGAGCTCATTTGCTTGTACAGGGAAGGTTTTTCTGTGGCTTTGCACTTAAAGTTGCTTTGTAATGATGCTTTTAGAGACTCTTTAGCAATAACTCGCTCAGACTTTGTCTAATGGTCTGCTGAACTTTATTAGCTTTTTTGTCTGTAAAACTAACAACTTTTAGTGTTTTATCTTCTGTGAAAAGAACTTTTCTTGATTTAAAAACACCCCATGGACATGAATATACCATGTTGAGTCTAATTTTTCTTTATTATAGCACTACTTGATAGCCTTCTTGTCCTGACCATGAACCATTTTCAGGTTTTTACTTCTTTTTTGCTGTAGTAGCAACATCTCAGTTATACTGGATAATCAATTATTTAGGCACTTGAGTTCTTTGCCTTACTTTGGCTTACGTCACAGACCCAAGCCCTGACTTTTCTCTTTTAATGAGAACTACATACATCCAATCAATCTCCGCTGCCAGGAATAGAGCACTGAGTGGCAATGACTACTCGCATTCCCCTTGTGCAGAAATGTATTTACTTTGACCAATTGCTTTATGTCATCAGAACATTTTCTTCCCAACAGTTTTAAGCCGTGCTATTTATTACATTAGAAATTCTTGGCACCTTGAAATTGAAAGCAAGTCAATAAACTTGAAAGATGCATGCTATATGGGGCACAAATGTCAGAGTGGCGTAAAACCCACTAAGACTTGAGGAAAAATCTACAAATTTTTCTACTGATGGACTACAGCTATAGGGCTCTTCCAATGGAGCCCTAGTAGAGGTTAAAATCTTCTGACTAGAAATTAGTAAAACTACAAATACTAGCTAGTAGTCAAAGACTTATGCAAGCAAGCTTTGCTAGCAAGTGAGGTCTGTATAGATGATGCAAAATATCACAGTTTATGCTCACTAAGGCTTTTCCTAGCTCTAACCATGTCAAAATGCAATGCAGTGATGTTTCTCATGGGACACTTTCTGTGAATCTTCAAAATTTCTTCATGGGCCTCAAACGCCTTCCCTTCCTATTGTTGGCTTTCAAGTATCCTCTTTCAAGATACCTTAGTATCAGAAATTTAAGCAACTAACCTTAATTTCTGGTAGCAGAAATTTAAGTAACCTCTAAATTTTTTCTATGAAAATAATTGGCTTTGAAATTAAATACTTCAGTCCTTATCACAAAAAAAAGGAATTAGATTTGCTGCGTTAAAACTTTGACAAGTATCCATTCCCTGCAGCAGCCTGCATCAGGACAGGACAACTCTTGGATGGAGGAGTTCATCTGTGAATGGAGATAGTGATGGCACTAGTGCCTGTCTCCTGAGAAAATAAATCCCAAAATGGCACATGCCACTTGCCAAGGGTGGGATTGGTTGTGACTCATGTAGAGGTAGCATAGGAGTGTGCCCAGAGCACATTTGAGAGCCTTGGACAAATTACTGCTTTTTGAGCTCCTTTAACTGGAAGAGCTTGGCAGTAGGCAGGGACAATGCTAAGACTTCAAGGAGATAAGAATTTCACCTTCAGGCTAGTGGTCCTGCTCTGCTAAGAAGGTGGAAAATTTGTTGGCAGAAAGGCATCACATTAGGAAGGGAATAAAATGGATAAAATATGCCGATTGTGTATCATCTTGCACTAAGCTATTCCTTTGTAGTGCCTGATGGTCTGACAAGGGCTGTGGTGTTGGGGGATGTGCTAGTTTAGCAAAGGGACTTTTGGTTTGTGTTATCAGTGAGGACTGGTGCATCTACCAAACTTCAGATGATGGTATCTGGGGTGGGTTCAGTGCTTGGGGAACACATGAGTACAAGTGATAGAGGGAAGGACATGTCTCTAAATTCAAAATAGAAGTTGCTAGAAACCTATAAAGACCAGGAAGCCTAGACAAGACAATACAATGTGTGGGGTCAGACAGGAAAGATAAAAATGAAGGTCTATGTCTTGAGAAAGATTTAAGAATTGTGGGAGCTTTGGGACTAGATCAAGCTGACCGAAGGTATCTAAAGTATAACAAAGCTGTTGTCATATAGGACTTAAAAGCTATAGGGATTTTTTTTTTGCTTGAAGCAGAGCAAAAGAGAGGTAGAAGTTGAGTGTAATCAATCTGTAGGGCATGAAGTCCTGTGTGTTCCCAGCAGAGATGTTGCCAGAAACAGTTTATGTCTGGTTGTTCCACTTCTACAAAACTCTTGTTTCAAACGTCTGGACCTGTGGTGTTGCCTATAGGAAGTCAGAATGGATTGCTTCTCTCCAGAACTTCTGAAATGTTTTTTTTGTGAAGCACAGAAAGTCTGAAGCTACTGTTCCTACTGGTAGTACATTTTTTCTGGTGCTTGGCTCCAGCAGTTCATTAAGCTTATTGAACTGAGGAATGGGAAAGGGTTTTCACAAGTTAAACTGGCAAGAAGTCCTTAGACATTTGCACCAATTAGTTGTTTTGAAATATCTGTAGATAACAACCCTCCAAATGCAGTTTATCTGGCCCTTTAAGCAGTAGTTTAGGTTACATAACTGAACTTAAACGCTTTCTAATCTGTAGGAACCTGACTGCCAAATTATGGCATTTCCGTAGAAGTGGAAAGTGCTACTGTAATTTTCTTAAACAGCCTTTCTATAGCAGTGTCTAATGATATTTAGCTTTAACTATATTTTTCCATTGTTGCTAACAGCAGTTCACCTCAGAGCAGGGAGCTCTGCTGTAAACAGTGCTCCAGGCAGCAGCTCCCACTTAGAGCAGCTCAGCTCCAAGCAGGGCTGTGTGATCTCCTGTGTAAAACACCAGCAGCTGTCAGGACCCTGTTTACTTCAGCACTTCTGTTGCTGCTTCTGCTTGAGCTGCTGCTGTGGTTTGTACTTAAAATAATCAAAATGGGCATTAGGGAGTAACTGTTCTGTACGAGCCTAGAGCTACCCAAGCCCACAGCCATCCCAGGAGCCAGTCCAAAATGTCCATGAGTGCTAAACTTCCCCTTGCAGGCAAGCTCTTAGCAGGGGTAGTGAGTTCAGCAAATGCTTCTTGAGCTGCAGGCTCAGTGTCTGCTTGCTGAGGAAGACTTTATTTTAAGTTTTGCTCAACAAGGATGAACACTGCCAGTCTAGCACTGAGGAGAAAAGCTGAAGTAATTAGCCACTATTTCATATAGACCATATTTGTGTGTTCTCGTCTAACTGCAAGTAGGTGCAAAGGTCTACCTGGGTCTCTGCAAGCATGGCTCAGACCTCACAACTAAAGTGCAGGAATAAAGCTGACAAATAGATCCAATAGAATAGCTTCATAAGCAACTAGGGAAGCTCTTAAATGCCTCCAAACCTGATAAGTAGAGAGAAGGGAGTTTCGGTAGCAGCAGAGGTTTGAAGCTAGTGTCGGTAGGCTGCGTTATAATACAATAATTGGTTTCCATTATTTTAGTATCTATACTAAAATGTAGCCTTATTTCTTAAAACATGAGGTCAAAGTAAATTTTAAAAAAGAAAAAGATTACTTTTAGATATACTCCTTACCCTTCATAACCATTTGGCTTATCCTGTTGATTTACACAAATATTCTCTTGCTTTAAGAACAGAAGACGTGTTTTACAGGTGGCTGCTATATGGTACAAAGCAAACATGGATCCTCATTCCTTACTGTGCTCCTTCAGTTTCTTATATATTTTATTCACATTGCATCAGGCCTTTCTTACAAAAGCTTTTGTAGGAAAGCACAATCAAAGGATGAGAGGTAAGAGCCACGTTTGCATGGAAGATGCTGAGTAGATAGAAAAACTTTGCAATACAAATAATATTGCACTGCATGTCCAGATAGCCTGTGGTATCTCAGCCCTGGAGATGGGACAATGCTTGAAGCAGTATGAAAAATAGCCTTGTTTTGAGTGAGGTGGAACACGACATCCAGAA